CAGGGTAAAGGCTAATAGAGTTTTGCCAAGAGAATGCACTGGTCATAGCAAACACCCTCTTCCAACAACACAAGAGAAGACTCTACATATGGACATCACCAGATGGTCAACATCAAAATCAGATTGATTATATTCTTTGCAGATAAAGGTAGAGACGCTCTATACAGTCAGAAAAAACAAGCCGGGGAGCTGACTGTGGCTCAGATCATGAATTCCTTATCGCCAAATTCAGACTTAAATTGAAGACAGTAGGGAAAACCACTAGACCATTCAGGTATGACCTAAATCAAATCCCTTATGATTATACAGTGGAAGTGACAAATAGATCCAAGGGATTAGATCTCATAGAGTGCCTGAAGAACAATGGATGGAGGTTCGTGACATTGTAAAGGAGGCAGTGATCAAGAACATCAAGAAAAAGAAATGCAAAAAGGCAAAATGGTTATCTGAGGAGGCCTTACAAATAGCTGAGAAAAGAAGAGAAGAAAAAGGCAAAGGAGAAACGGAAAGATGTATCCATTTGAATGCAGAGTTCCAAAGAATAGCAAGGAGAGATAAGAAAGCCTTCCTCAGTGATCAATGCAAAGAAATAGAGGAAAACAATAGAATGGGAAAGGCTAGAGATCTCTTCAAGAAAATTAGAGATACCAAGGGAACATTTCATGTAAAGATGGGAACAATAAAGGACAGAAATGGTATGGACCTAATAGAAGCAGAAGATATTAAGAAGAGGTGGCAAGAATACACAGAAATACTGTACAAAAAAGATCTTCATGATCCAGATAACCACGATGGTATGATCACTCACCTAGAGCCAGGTATCCTGGAGTCTGAAGTCAAGCGGGCCTTAGGAAGCATCACTAGGAACAAAGCTAATGGAGGTGATGGAATTCCAGTTCAAATCCTAAAAGAGGATGCTGTGAAAGTGCTGCACATAATATGTCAGCAAATGTGGAAAACTCAGCAGTGGCCACAGGACTGGAAGAGGTCAGTTTTCATTCCAATCCCAAAGAAAGGCAATGCCAAAGAATTTTCAAAGTACCATACAATTGTATTCATCTCACATGCTAGTAAAGTAATGCTCAAAAATCTCCAAGTCAGGCTTCAACAGTACGTGAACCCTGAACTTCTAGAGGTTCAAGCTGGATTTAGAAAAGGCAGAGGATCCAGAGATCAAATTGCCAACATCTGTTGGATCATCGAAAAAGCAAGAGAATTCCAGAACAACATCTACTTCTGCTTTATTGACTACGCTAAAGCCTTTGACTGTGTGGATCAGAGGAAACTCTGGAAAATTCTTCAAGAGTTGGGCATACCAGACCACCTGACCTGCCTCTTGAGAAGTCTGTATGTACGTCAAGAAGCAACAGTTAGAGCTGGACACGGAATGACAGACTGGTTCCAAATCAGGAAAGGAGTACGTCAAGGCTGTATACTGTCACCCTGCTTATTTAACTTTTATGCAGAGTACATCATGAGAAACGCTGGGCTGGATGAAGCACAAGCTGGAATCAAACTGCCAGGAGAAATATTAATAACCTCAGATATGTATATGACAGCACCTTTATGGCAGAAAGCGAAGAACTAAAGAGCCTCTTGATGAAAGTGAAAGAGGAGATTGAAAAAGTTGGCTTGAAACTCTACATTCAGAAAAGTAATATGTCATCCGGTCCCATCACTTCATGACAAATAGATGGGGAAACAGTGGAAACAGTGCCAGACTTTATTTTTTCGGTCTCCAAAATCACTGCAGATGGTGACTGCAGCCGTGAAATGGAAAGATGCTTGTTTCTTTGAAGAAAAGTTACGACCAACCTAGACAGCTTATTAAAAAGCAGAGACATTACCTTGGCAACAAAGGTCCATCTAATCAAAGCTATGGTTTTTCCAGTAGTCATGTATGGGTGTGAGAGTTGGATTATAAAGAAAGCTGAGTGCCAAAGAATTGATGCTTTTGAACTGTGGTGCTGGAGAAGACTCTTGAGAGTCCCTAGGACTGCAAGGAGATGCAACCAGTCCATCCTAAAGGAAATCAGTCCTGAATATTCATTGGAAGGACTGATGCTGAAGCTGGAACTCCAATACTTTGGCCACCTGATATGAAGAACTGACTCACTGGAAAAAACACTGATGCTGGGCAAGACTGAAGGCAGGAGGAGAACGGAATGACAGAGGATGAGATGGTTGGATGGCATCACCAACTCAATGGACACGAGTTTGAGTAAACTCCGGGAATTGGTGATGGACAGGGAGGCCTGGCGTGCTGCAGTCCATGGGGTTGTAAAGAGTCAGACATGACTGAGCGACTGAACTGAACTGAAAAAAGGTACAGAGACTTAGGCTAAGGCATAAAGAGAGAATAATAGCATGTTACCATTTTGTAACATTTTGTGAAGCTTTCCTGTAGCTCATATATTAAAGAATCTGTCTGCAATGCAGGAGACCTGGGTTTGATCCCTAGGTCAGGAAGTTCTCCTGGAGAAGGGAATGACAATCCACTCCATTATTCTTGCCTGGAGAATTCCACGGACAGAGGAAACTGTGGGGTACAGTCCATGGTGTTACAAAGAGTTGGACACAACTGAGCGACTAACACTACTACTACCGTTTTGTGAAATATTAACGTATTAATAATAAAATCTAGGAATGATCAATAGATACTAACATCGCCAAAAGAAAACCATGAATTATGTTCCTAGATACACTGATTATTAGCATTTTACCACAACTTTCTCCATGTAGACATGATTTTTTCTTTGAAACCATCTGAGAATAAGCTGCACATAGCATGCCACTCTGCCTCTCAAGTCTACCCCAGGCCTGTTCTAAGAACTGGTAATCTTCATGATTAGATTCAGTCTTAATACTTTTGGCAAGAACATCACACCAGTGACATCATGCCTTCTCAGGGCATCACCCTAGGAGGATCAAGATGGCAGTTTGTCACATTGTTGGTAATGTTGATCCAATCATTTGGTTAAGGTGATGGCTGCCAGATTTGGGCCATCAAAAAGGTATCTTTCTCTCTGAGCAATCAAAAAGTAATGGGGTGATCATTAGAGATTCTGTGAATATCTTACTCCCCAGCAACCTTCCACCAATTGATTTCAGCATTCAGTGGTGATCCTTGCTTGGAACAACTTATTAACATGCTACTTGCAAATTGGTAAAATGTTTTTACATTTTATTTTTTAATTGGAATAAGTTGCTTTACAATGTTGTGTTGGTTTCTGTCATACAACAATGTGAATCAGCCATAATTTTATACATATATATATAGCCTCCCTCTTAAGCCTTCCCCCAACCCCATCCCACAGTGGGCTACAATTCTTGGGGTTGCAAAAGAGTTGGACACAGCTTAGTGACTAAACAAAAATGGTGAACTTTTAATTTTAGCTTTCATTTTTACTTCTTTACTTGGCATTCCTCTGTAATCTTTTCTTCAGTAATTCTATGGATGTAGGGATTCTTGTTCAATTCATTACAATCCTCTACAATTATCTTTTGTGAGGCTCAAAATGTCCCAAATTTGGCCAGTAGAGGCTCTTCAAATTGGTTCCTGTGTCCTTTTAACATGTTCTAAATTAGTTTTTGAGTACTTTGTTAGTTTCATCCTAAGAAAAATGTCCCAGGCTCACCTTGTACTACCTACCTCTGCCCCAGATTCCTGAAGAGGATATTTTCCCAAGGACCCCTGGTTCGTTTTATGGGCAATGGTGTATAGAAAGTAAAATCTGAGCAGTACAAGTGCTTATTGCTATTGGGGTGTTGATCCGTGATGCCCCAAAGGAAAAAAACCAAACCAGAATCAGATCCAGCCTTTACCCCTTTATTCCACTAGAAATATGATACAAAGCATAGATATGACTTTTAAGTTTGTAGCACCCACATTAAAAACGTAAAAAGAGGCAATTCCCTGCTGGTCCAGTGGTTTGGACTCTGTGCTTCCAGTGCAGGGAGCCTGGGTTCAATCCCTGGTCTGAGAACGAGGATTCTGTGACCCTCGCAGAGCAACGAAAAAAATAAAATGCTCAGATTGAGCAATGGAGGAGGAGGTGGGGGAGGAGGACTGTAACCCTAGAATGCCACCCGCAGCAAAACTAGAATTTGTGAGTGAGGGGAAAATAGCAACGATAGCATGGGAGTTGGGCGGAGTGGTTTGAAGGGGAGCTGCCTTCATGGAGCGCATGTTGTCTAGGTGGGGGAACAGACACCTAAGTTGACACAGAATATATCAGCTATGCCAAGTGTTATGCAGAAAGACAAAGCCCAGGGAGTACCTGGTGGCTCAATGGCAAAGAATCCACCTGCCAATGTAGGAGATACAGGTTTGATCCCTGGCTGGGGGAATATCGCACATGCCTGTGGAGCAACTAAGCCCGTGGGCCTCAACTACTGAGTCTGCACTCTAGAGCCCTGGAACTGCAACTACTGAAGCCTGCACCTGTTCCACAAGCCGGTGCAATGAGAAGCATGTGCACCACAATGAAGAGTAACTCCAGCTCACCAAAACTAGAGAAAAGCCCGAGCAGCAGTGAAGACCCAGCACGGCCATAAATAAATAAATAAACAACCACACAAACAAACAAAAATTATTAAGAGAAAAAAACCACAAAGCCAAGCAATTTCACTTTTGGATATATACTCTGGAGTAGCAGTAGGCACCCTACAGCCTGTGGACCTTTTGTCAATAAAGTTTTATTGGTACGCAGCTGCCACCACTCATTTATGTATTGGCCATGGTTGCTTTTGAACTATCTGTGCAGAGTGCAGTAGTAGTGACATAGATAACAGTTATTGATTCTCACTAGTAACAACAGGTGTGTGTGTTAAATTCTTTGTTTTTTTGTGTGTGTTAAATTCTTTCGTATAACTTCACAATTTTTCAAAAAAAATTTTTCTTTTGGAAACAACAACTTGGCTAGCCTCTGAGCAGGGGAAGTCTGGTGATTTCCCTTCAAGGGGCCTGGGGCAATCGGCAAGGCTAAATGGTCTGTTACCTGTTGGCTGCAAAGGTCACCCAGGAAAAACTGCACGCGAGGATTGTCAAACCCTTGCCGAATGTCAAATACATTGACAGCATAGCCTCTTGCTAGTAACTGCTCCACCATGTGCTGACCCAGGAATCCAGAGCCTCCAATCACTGTGCACCTCTTGGCCTGCAGAAAGAGAGGGATGGCAGGGGGTAAGGATATGCTGAGAACTGGAAGCTCTAAGAGCCCGGATTCACACACCATGAGCCACTGAAATAGCAGGTCCATCTCTTAGTTTGAAACTTTCATTGAGTCAAGTTGGAAGTTTCAAATAATTCTGGTGTTTTATCGCCCATGGCAACCTTCTCTCCTGAGAATTAGTAAGGAGGGAAGAGATAGCAAATGATACTGAGGCAGACTTTGGTCACACTGGATGACCTGAGGAAAGTTCCCTGGCTGTCCAGTGGTTAGGACTTGATACTTTCGATGTGGTGGCCCGAGTTCAATCCCTGATCAGGAAACTAGGATTTTACAAGCCGCATGGTGTGCCCACCCCCCTACCCCCACCAAAGTGATACCTTCTTGCTCCCAATAGCTGATCCCTGGGCACCTTTAAAGCATAAAACAAACCACACACACCCCCCCAAAAAATCCAAACATGCCATCCACTCAACTGACAGTGTGCACTTAGAACATCAGAAAAAAGAAAGTAGAGTTTCCATACTTGCAGGGGAAAGTAAGGCCCCTTTGCTCTCCAACCACTATAGGGCTGGGCTCTGTGGCTTTGGGCTCATGACCTAAGCCCTTCTCCCTTTAGCACATCCATCTAAGACTATGCTGTTGCCTGATAGGATCTCCTGGTGGGGATGTAGGGAGGATCAGTGAGCTGTTCATCAGCCAGGCCCAGGGCTTTGCTTTCCCTTCTCTGAGCTCTAAGGAAGTTGACATATTAGGTGAGAGCTATGATGCTTGCATTTCAGCTCTGCAACAAAGGTACATCATGCAAAATGCCTTCAGACTGTGGTGCTGGAGAAGACTCTTGAGAGTCCCTTGGACAGCAAGGAGATTCAACCAGTCAACCTGAAAGGAAATCAGTCCTGAATATTCATTGGAAGGACTGATGCTGAAGTTGAAACTCCAATACTTTGGCCACCTGATGCGAAAAACTGACTCACTGGAAATGACCCCGGTGCCGGGAAAAATTGAAGGCGGGAGGAGAACAGGACGACAGAGGATGAGATGGCTGGATGGCATCAATGACTCGGTGCACATGAGTTTGAGCAAACTCCGGGTGATAGTGAAGGACAGGGCCTAGCGTGCTGCAGTCCATGGGGTCACAAAGAGTCGGGCATGACTGAGCGACTGAACAACAACAACCCATGTACTCTTTTGGCTAAATTCCAACTCTGTTAACTGGGGATAATGGAAGGACAGAGCACCACATGCAGGACTTAAATATTCTGACTCCAGGGAGCTGATGCAAAACTGTAGCTGGTGCATGCTGATGAAGTTGGCTACAAGGGGCCCTGGAGGAAGACTTGTTATACCTCTCCTACTTGGGGTCTTTCTAAAACCATATCTGGGCTTCCTTAAGATGACAAACTCCAATTTTTCTCTGAACTTATGTATAATAAATAAAATTTGGGGACAGAAAATAGAGATTTTAAAGAAATTCTGCTGATTAAAAAACCAACCAACCAACCTATGTATTCCTTAAATACCTATATAATTGAGACATTCAGGAGACTGTAGGGGAGCCAGAGCCTCTTCTATAGATCTGCCCCTCTCAACCTGGCATCCCACCTGCAATGGAGATGGCTCTGAAGTTCAGCATCATTTGTTCAGGCATTCATAATCTCCTGACAGAGACAGCCTCACTATGCTACCCTCCCCACCTAAGTAACTTTTAAGCCCACTGTTGTCTATGCCTAGATGACTGCCATATATCATAGCATGCTACATTATTTACACCTTTACTAAAATTTCTAACACATGACCAAAGCATGCTACATTATTTACACCTTTACTAAAATTTCTAACACATGACCAAAGCATAGGCAAATGAAATCCACAAATCCCACTCGATCTCCCTTTTGGCAATTCCTTCTTTTATTGCTCTCCCCAAGTCAGCTGCACAGGCAAAGGAAGCTTTTTAGAATAACTCCAAAGGAGTTCAGAGTCTCTTGTTTATAGTATTTGGAGTCAAAAGTTATGAATTGCTTCAAAAGTTTGACAGTCTAATTTAAGAAAAATAAAATAACCTTGCTATCATATCTAGTGCAATTTCTTTTTTATTGATTTATTTTTTAAAAACATTTATTGGAGTACAGTTGCTTTATAATGCTGTGTTTGTTCAGTACAATTTCATTTCATGATATTAAAGTAATCCTCTCTTTGACAGAGTGATGTGGATTCTTATATTGAAATGTTGCACCCATTTTGCCTGGAGAGCATGGGTCAGCAGGTATGCCAGAGAGACTTTTATAATGATGAGAACAGAGCTGGCATTTATCCTAGAGAAGTCAGACTGTGATGGGGCCACGGTCCTCAGTTATAGGTTTTATGTGAAATCATCACTTACTTTTCATGGCCATGAAAGATGACGCAGTTCAAGTGGGTCCAACAGACAAGAAGGAATATGTACTAATAAATAAGAATGAAATTCCAGATTGGAACCAGGTAGTGAGACTCAAGAATGGGTTATTGTGGGGAGTTATACAATCAACACCTTGGAGACAGTTTTAAGAATAGGGAAGAAAGCCATCTAGAAAAAATATTTCATTGCAAAATGATCTGGCAATAACAGAATATTGTAGGTCCCTGGGTTTCTTCCAATCTTTTCTGTTTTCCCTTTTCATTAGCAGTGGGCCCTTTTCTCAGAGAAGTCTTACACAGAATGTATGTGTAAGTTAGGATGAAACTGTTTTTTTTATTATAGTAGTTTAAATGTGTAACTTTTACTTCCTATAAAGTCAACTGATGAGAAAAAACCACCATCCTAATCCAGACTGTTTTTAGTTGCTGAGTATCAGTAAAACCGTGATGCACACAAATGAACTACAGATGGCAAGGACCTCTGGTGGTTTGTCTGAGCACTAGAATCTCAGATTAATCCTCAATTACAGAGGCACAGAGAAGGCCTTACTCTGAGCTGTACACTAAAACCAATGTGATTTGGTGACCTGTGGCAACCTCTTAGGAAGCTTCGATTAAGTAACATCTGATATGAACACATTTTGCCTCGGTGTGATTTCATGTCTGAAGTGTTAGTTCATTGAAAGCGTAATGAACCCTCCCTTCACAGATCTTTGTAAAGCATCTCAAGGAGGCCTGACACTTCAAGTCCCTTCTGACACTGGCGAGGTTAGAGTTTAGGTGGCCCTGCTAGTGCCCTTGCTGGCCCTGGGAAGGCTTCTGCGATTATACCCAGAAGCACAGTCTAACCTGCTGGAGGCCACATGAGGGCACCTAGGTGACAGGCAGTAGTTACTGACATGTGTGTGAGTGAGGCTGCCTTGAACATATACCCCAGGGATCCCATGACTGCAACTGGCTGTGTGAGCCCAGGGCAGACCAGTGAAGGAAAGCCCATTGCTCACCACAAGCTGGGCCCAGCCCAACCTGCAGAATTGTGAACAAAGAAACGGGTGTTGTTTTAAACTGCTAAGTTCTGATAGGGTTTGTTACAGAGCAGTAATTGAAGACTTAAATAATGACATATCTTCTATAAAGAAACAATTACTCAACACTAATTAATTTAATATGGGTAACCCAGAGCTATGTTTCAATGGTGTGCTGTTATGTATGTGCCAGACTTTCTGATGTGTGTGACTTATCTGATTTTGGTTAACCTTTTTTGTGTCAGTACTCACTTTTGGAATGTCTTCTGTCAAACATGTCCTTGTTGGCTCACCAGCTGCTTGTTCCATTTTCATTCCAAATGTGGCCCTTTCTGCAATCAACGTTTGTCTCCTTAAAAACATATTTAGAGGCAGACATATATGTTATATAAACTGAAACATATTTTAGCTGTTAGTGTGTTGTGTGGATAACATCCCTCCCACCCCTAAGTTTTCACAGAGTACTCAACTGTAGCTGCAGCTGCTGGAAGAAGCACTCAGTGAACATTCCTGGGATGCAGACTGTCCTCTGAGATGGGCCTGAGTGGGCCCATAACTCACTACCATATACTTGGACTAGAGGCAGAATGGGAAGCCACTTCAATCTGTTCAAGCCATTTTTCTTTGCTGCAGCTCAATAAAACAGACTCAGTGCTCATCCCCATGATGCCAGGGCATGGGATGCTAGGAGGAGGAAGAATAAGAGGAGATGGAGCTCTCCTCCTTGGTGGAATTAAAGCCATCCTGACCACATATAGAACTAAGAGTGTCTTGGGTCATCAGAAACCCCTTGGGAAGTGGTCAGAGTATGGTGGTGACCCTCCAGTTACAAAATAAGCTAAGGACTTGAATAGACAGCTCTCCAAAGAAGACACATAGATGGCCAACAAGTACATGAAAAAAATGCTCCGTGGCATTAATCATCAGGGAAATGTAAATCAAAACTACAACGAGATACCACTTCACCACGGTCAGGATGGCTATTATCAAAAAGTCAAAAGATAAGTGTTGGCATGGATGTGGAGAAATTGGAACTTCTGTACACTGAATGCAAAAACAATGCAGCTTCTGTGGAACACAGTATGGAGATTCCTCAAAAAATTAAAATAGAACTACCGAAGTACATATGATCTAGCAACTCTAAGTCTGGGTATATATTCAAAAGAACCGAAGCTAGAATCTTGAAGAGATATGAGTACTCCTAAACTCTTTGCAAAAACATCTATTTCTGCTTTATTAACTATGCCAAAGCCTTCGACTTTGTGTATCACAATAAACTGTAGAAAATTCTGAAGGGGATGGGAAGACCAGACCACCTGACCTGCCTCTTGAGAAACCTGTACGCAGGTCAGGAAACAACAGTTAGAACTGGACATGGAAGCAAGGAAATCGAAACTGTAATCAGAAATCTTCCAGCAAACAAAAGCCCAGGACCAGATGGCTTCACAGCTGAATTCTACCAAAAATTTAGAGAAGAGCTAACACCTATCTTACTCAAACTCTTCCAGAAAATTGCAGAAGAAGGTAAACTTCCAAACTCATTCTATGAGGCCACCATCACCCTAATTCCAAAACCAGACAAAGATGCCACAAAAAAAGAAAACTACAGGCCAATATCACTGATGAACATAGATGCAAAAATCCTTAACAAAATTCTAGCAAACAGAATCCAACAACATATTAAAAAAATCATACATCATGACCAAGTGGGCTTTATCCCAGGAATGCAAGGATTCTTTAATATCCGCAAATCAATCAATGTAATACACCACATTAACAAATTGAAAGATAAAAACCATATGATTATCTCAATAGATGCAGAAAAAGCCTTTGATAAAATTCAACATCCATTTATGATTAAAACTCTCCAGAAAGCAGGAATAGAAGGAACATACCTCAACATAATAAAAGCTATATATGACAAACCCACAGCAAGCATCACCCTCAATGGTGAAAAACTGAAAGCATTTCCCCTGAAATCAGGAACAAGACAAGGGTGCCCACTCTCACCACTACTATTCAACATAGTTTTGGAAGTTTTGGCCACAGAAATCAGAGCAGAAAAAGAAGTAAAGGAATCCAGATAGGAAAAGAAGAAGTGAAACTCTCGCTGTTTGCAGATGACATGATCCTCTACATAGAAAACCCTAAAGACTACCAGAAAATTACTAGAGATAATCAACGAATACAGTAAAGTTGCAGGATATAAAATTAACACACAGAAATCTCTTGCATTCCTATACACTAACAATGAGAAAACAGAAAGAGAAATTAAGGAAACAATACCATTCACCATTGCAACAAAAAGAATAAAATACTTAGGAGTATATCTACCTAAAGAAACAAAAGACCTATACATAGAAAACTATAAAACACTGATGAAAGAAATCAAAGAGGACACAAACAGATGGAGAAATATACCGTGTTCATGGATTGGAAGAATCAATATTGTCAAAATGGCTATACTACCCAAAGCAATCTACAGATTCAATGCAATCCCTATCAAACTACCAACGGTATTTTTCACAGAACTAGAACGAATAATTTCACAATTTGTATGGAAATACAAAAAACCTCGAATAGCCAAAGTAATCCTGAGAAAGAAGAATGGAACTGGAGGAATCAATCTGCCTGACTTCAGACTATACTACAAAGCCACAGTCATCAAGACAGTATGGTACTGGCACAAAGACAGAAATATAGATCAATGGAACAGAATAGAAAGCCCAGAGATAAATCCACGAACCTATGGTCACCTTATCTTTGACAAAGGAGGCAAGGATATACAATGGAAAAAAGACAACCTCTTTAACAAGTGGTGCTGGGAAAACTGGTCAACCACCTGTAAAAGAATGAAACTAGAACACTTTCTAACACCATACACAAAAATAAACTCAAGATGGATTAAAGATCTAAATGTAAGACCAGAAACTGTAAAACTCCTAGAGGAGAACATAGGCAAAACACTCTCCGACATAAATCACAGCAGGATCCTCTATGACCCACATCCCAGAATTTTAGAAATAAAAGCAAAAATAAACAAATGGGACCTAATGAAACTTAAAAGCTTTTGCACAACAAAGGAAACTATAAGCAAGGTGAAAAGACAGCCCTCAGATTGGGAGAAAATAATAGCAAACGAAGCAACAGACAAAGGATTAATCTCAAAAATATACAAGCAACTCCTCCAGCTCAACTCCAGAAAAATAAATGACCCAATCAAAAAATGGGCCAAAGAACTGAACAGACATTTCTCCAAGGAAGACATACAGATGGCTAACAAACACATGAAAAGATGCTCAACATCACTCATTATCAGAGAAATGCAAATCAAAACCACAATGAGGTACCATTACACACCAGTCAGGATGGCTGCTATCCAAAAGTCTACAAGCAATAAATGCTGGAGAGGGTGTGGAGAAAAGGGAACCCTCTTACACTGTTGGTGGGAATGCAAATTAGTACAGCCACTATGGAAAACAGTGTGGAGATTTCTTAAAAAGCTGGAAATAGAACTGCCATATGACCCAGCATTCCCACTTCTGGGCATACACAATGAGGAAACCAGATCTGAAAGAGACACGTGTACCCCAATGTTCATCGCAGCACTGTTTATAATAGCCAAGACATGGAAGCAACCTAGATGCCCATCAGCAGACGAATGGATGAGGAAGCTGTGGTACATATACACCATGGAATATTACTCAGCCATTAAAAAGAATTCATTTGAATCAGTTCTAATGAGATGGATGAAACTGGAGCCCATTATACAGAGCGAAGTAAGCCAGAAAGATAAAGACCATTACAGTATACTAACACATATATATGGAATTTAGAAAGATGGTAATGATAACCCTATGTGCAAAACAGAAAAAGAGACTCCTATGTATAGAACAGACTTGTGGACTCTGGGAGAAGGCGAGGGTGGGATGTTTCAAGAGAACAGCATTGAAACACGTATATTATCTAGGGTGAAACAGTTCACCAGCCCAGGTTGGGTGCATGAGACAAGTGCTCGGCCCTGGTGCACTGGGAAGACCCAGAGGGATTGGGTGGAGAGGGAGGTGGGAGGGGGGACCGGGATGGGGAATACATGTAAAAAAAAAAAAAAAAGATACACTATGGTTGTGATAAAAAATAAATAAATAAATAAATTAAAAAAAAAAAAAAAGAACTGGACATGGAACAACAGACTGGTTCCAAATAGGAAAAGGAGTACGTCAAGGCTGTATATTGTCACCCTGCTTATTTAACTTATATGCAGAGTACATCATGAGAAACACTGGGCTGGAAGAAGCACAAGCTGGACTCAAGATTGCTGGGAGAAATATCAATAACCTCAGAGATGCAGATGACACCACCCTTATGGCAGAGAGTGAAGAGGAACTGAAAAGCCTCTTGATGAAAGTGAAAGAGGGGAGTGAAAAAGTTGGCTTAAAGCTTAACATTCAGAAAACTAAGATCATGGCATCTGGTCCCATCACCTCATGGGAAATAGATGGGGAGATAGTGGAAACAGTGTCAGACTTTATTTTTGGGGGCTCCAAAATCACTGCGGATGGTGACTGCAGCCATGAAATTAAAAGACGCTTACTCCTTGGAAGGAAAGTTATGACCAACCTAGATAGCATATTAAAAAGCAGAGACATTACTTTGCCAGCAAAGGTCTGTCTGGTCAAGGCTATGATTTTTCCAATGGTCATGTATGGATGTGAGAGTTGGACTGTGAAGAAAGCTGAGCAACGAAGAATTGATGCTTTTGAACTGTGGTGTTGGAGAAGACTCTTGAGAGTCCCTTGGACTGCAAGGAAATCCAACCAATCCATCCTAAAGGAGATCAGTACTGGGTGTTCATTGGATGGACTGATGCTGAAGCTGGAACTCCAATACTTTGGCCACCTCATGTGAAGAGCTGACTCACTGGAAAAGACCCTGATGCTGGGAGGGATTGGGGGCAGGAGAAGGAGATGACAGAGGATGAGATGGCTGGATGGCATCACCGACTCAATAGGCATGAGTTTGAGTAAACTCCGGGAGTTTGTGATAGACAGGGATACCTGGCATGCTGCGATTCATGGGGTTGCAAAGAGTCAGACACAACTGAGCGACTGAACAGAACAGAACTGAACTGAAACTCTTTGCAGCACTATTCACAATAGCTAAGATGGAAACAATCTAAGCGTTCATTGATGGATGAATGGATAAAGAAAATGTGGTATTTAAATACAACAGAATACTATGAAGCCTTAACAAAGGAGAAAATTCCACAATATGAGACACAGATGAACTTTGAGAACATTATACCAAGT